CCTCACGACGCCAGGACAGCGGAGTCACTCACCACCTTCCGGAGAAATTTGAAACCCCACCTCTTTAAGGAATACCTGGGATAGGATAAAGTAATCCTTCTACCCCCCCCCCCCCCCCAAAAAAAATAATAATAATAATAATAATAATAATTTGTAAGGTGAATGCACCTATTTGTAAGTCGCTCTGGATAAGAGCGTCTGCTAAATGACGTAAATGTAAATGTAGTTCAGTTACCTTTGCTTTCTTGGTACAGGAACAATAGTGGAACTCTTGATGCAAGTGGGGACAGCAGACTGGGAGAGGGAGAGATTGAATATGTCCGTGAACACTACAGCCAGCTGGTCTGCGCATGCTCTGAGGACGCGGCTAGGGAAGCCGTCTGGGCCGGCAGCCTTGCGAGGGTTAACACGCTTAAATGTCTTACTCAAGTCGGCCACGGAGTAGGAGAGCCCATAGTCATTGGTAGCGTGCCGCGTCGGTGGCACTGTGTTATCCTCAAAGCGGGCGAAGAATGTGTTTAGCATGTCCAGAAGCAAGACGTCGGTGTCCGCAACGTGGCTGGTTTTCCCTTTGTAGTCCGTGATTGTCTGTAGACCCTGCCACATACGTCTAGTTTCTGAGCCGTTGAATTGCGACTCCACTTTGTCTCTGTACTGCCGTTTTGCCGTTTTGATTGCCTTACGGAGGGAACAACTACACTGTTTGTATTCGGCCATATTCCCAGTCACCTTGCCATGGTTAAATGTGGTGGTTCACGCTTTCAGTTTTGCGGGAATGCTGCCATCTATCCACGGTTTCTGTTTTGGGTAGGTTTTAATAGTCACAGTGGGAACATCTCCTATACACTTCATGATGAACTCAGTCACCGTATCCGTGTGTTCGCCGATGTTATTCTCAGAGGCTACCTGGAACATATCCCAGTCCGCGTGATCAAAACAATCTTGAAGCATGGATTCCGATTGGTCAGACCAGCGTTGAATAGACCTTAGCACGGGTGCTTCCTGTTTGAGTTTCTGCCTGTAGGAAGGGACGAACAAAATGGAGTCGTGATCAGATTTGCCGAAGGGAGGACGGGGGAGGGCCTTGTAGGCATTTCGAAAAGTTGAGTAGCAGTGGTCCAATGTTTTTCCAGAGCGAGTACTACAGTCAATGTGTTGGTAGAACTTCGGTAGCGTTTCCTCAAATTTGCTTTGTTAAAAATCCCTAGCTACAATAAATGCGGCCTCAGGATATGCGGTTTCTAGTTTGCATAAAGTCCAATGTAGTTCTTTGAAGGCCGTCGTGATATCGGCTTGAGGGGGAATATACACAGCTGTGACTATAACCGAAGAGACTTCTCTTGGGAGGTAATACGGTCTGCATTTGATTGTGAGGTGTTCTAGGTCAGGTGAACAAAAGGACTTGAGTTTCTGGATGTTATCACAATCACACCATGAGTAGTTAATCATGAAACATACACCCCGCCTTTCTTCTTCCCAGAGAGTTCTTTATTCCTGTCTGTGCGATGTACTGAGAACCCAGCTGGCTGTATGGACGGGAAAGTATATCCCGAGAGAGCTATGTTTCCGTGAAACAGAGTATGTTACAATCCCTAATGTCTCTCTGGAAGGAGATCCTCACCCTGAGCTCGTCTACTTTATTATTAAGAGACTGAACATTAGCGAGTAATATATTCTGAAGCGGTGGATGGTGTGCACGCCTCCTGAGTCGGACTAGAAGTCCACTCCGAATACCTCTTCTCGGAGCAGCCTCTGGAATAAGTTCAGTTGCCCTGGGGGGTACGAACAAAGGATCCAATTCGGGAAAGTCGTATTCCTGGTCGTAATGCTGGTGAGTTACAGCCACTCTGATATCCAAAAGTTATTTCCGGCTGTATGTAATAACACCAAAGAATTCCTGGGCTAATAATGTAAGAAATAACACACATAAAAAAAGAAATACAATAAAAAGAAATAATACTGCAAAGTTGCTTAGGAGCTAGAAGCAGAGCTGCCATATCATTATGTGGGTTGAATGCTGTAACAACACAGAATAAAACAATTAATACAAGTTCTGTGATAGTAGTGACTGCCCATTAGGCTACTGCTTATCATTTATTCACATTACTTTACTTTAATAAAATATTTCAGTTTTTGTGTATATTACATTTGTTTTATTTGATGACTTTATTATTTCATTCTAAGTCATCATCTCATGTCTATAGCGCTGCTGCCTATGCTGTCTGAATGGAATACCTTTGTATAGCCTACTTTTATTACTAAAACTCTAATGAAAATCAACTGATTGCCATTCCTGTCCCATACATAGCCTACTATATAAATTGCTTTGATTGTCCTTTGTGACCTCCACAAACAACTTAAATGACTGGACAAAATACAATATTGCTTTTAACGTTCAAGTTCAAATCACATTTAAAGTTCAAATTCAATGTGGCTTGTAAAGGTCTTCTTCTTCTTTGGTATTATGGTCGTCTGCAAACAAATGTTATAGGTGCATGCCGCCACCTACTGCATTGTCTGTGTATCAGCCTACTATTTTGGAGTTTGAATTCATTACACTTTGTGAAAGAATTGCCCTACCAACTAACCCTACACCCATTAAAACCTCACCACTATTCCACTACTTTGGCCCTATCTGATCCTGCACCAGACCAGCAGCCTGGGAGGACGGGACACTATTGTTCTCTGCAGTTGCACCACAACATCTATCCTATGTGATTTCCATTCCATTCCTGCGGTACAGTTGACAACCATGGCCTTGAATGCCAAAATACTACCTTACAGAAGTGCATGTTATTCCTATCACTTTCTGTTGACCTTGGCCTACTCACAGGGATCCTCTTAGGATCCCTCACGCTGGACCCATCTTCCTCTACTACTATCTTCTACCTAACCGTCTCAACCTGCCTTTCTCTCACAGGACACCTCTGATTTGTAGCACCATGGGTACCCCTACATTTTTTGCACCTCCACTTTTTTACCAACAAATTATCATAATCCATTGGATAATTTGTCCAATTTCACTTATTTTTGCGCTAGTCTGTAAAATAAATAATATATATGAGAATTTTAAAAATGGTACAATTGCGTGTGATATGATTGCATTTTGGAACCCTGCTCCCCCCGTTGCCCCAAGATGAATGCTTTTGACCACACTCCACTGCTTTGATTAGTGCAGCTAGAAATCATATGTCTATCCTGTAATGAAAAGCCCCCCCGCAAAAGGAGATTCCGTGAACTTGTTTATCTATTTTGTGCTGTTGTTACATCAAGTATTGGTGTTTCGTTTCGTGTCTCATGCGCTCAGGGTGTTGTTACATATAATTTGCGGCTTGCATCATGAGCAAAGTCATTGTAGCCTATAATTTCGCTTCCCCGAGCTGTGAGAACCATGCTATCCATATTACCGGAGCTTCATATTATTCTTTCTATTTCTATGGAAGATGCCAAAACTTTAAAGATAACAATAGTTGGCAAAGTCAAAGATACTGGTTTCCCCTATCCATCTGTGGCGAAGTTTTCCCTACATGCTTATGATAAATCCAGCTCCAGAACCAGCCATAGCCTAGCTGGCTAATCTTTTGAATAAGGTGTAGCAACAACAGATAACATGAGTTAGCTAGATAAGGTTAGCATGCTAGCTAGCTACACTGACAGCTGTCCAGGTGGAAATCACCCACAACGTTCCCACCCCCAATTCGTGAATATGTATAAGCAGCCTGCGTCATTCTTCTGAGGTGGAACCTAAAGGACAATTTCTGCTATAGGACAGGAATTACGTCGAAATAGGGTCCGCATTGCCCTCTGGTGGGGGCCTTTAAGCCATCATCATATGAGTTATTGCATCTGAGTTTGTGTAAAAGAGATCACGTCTCTAAAAACTGTCGATGCTTTGGAAGACTTCTGGGGAAAAAGTCTCCATTGAGTTTATGAATCAGGGTTGGTTTACTTTGGCAAGATATGTGCACACAATTATTTGATTAATTTGTCATTAACATTACGAAGTCCAGATGGCCATCTAGTTCTCCCTGTGCTTTGGGCTTTTTGGCTCATGATAGGAGGAAATATTAAGATGCAATGATGAATGATAGTGCTGTACTGTTTCGTATCACAAAGCATAACAAATTGTGGTTGTCTACATACAGCATTCTGGCAGTCATAAACAACAAGTACCATTCATCGCAAGGTTGGACTGCAAAGTAAAACTTTTTCAACCAGCCTCCACCACCTGATTCTGTATAAGTACTGCATCAGATGAGCTCTTTATGATGGCACTATTTTGGTATTAAGATGTTTAGAGTAAAAGGTTGTGTTCTTTTTTTGTGATATCCAATTGGTAGTTACAGTCTTGTCCCATCGCTGCAACTCCTGTACAGACTCGGGAGAGGCGAAGGTCGAGAGCCATGCGTCCTCCGAAACATGACCACCAAGCCGCACTGCCCACTTATCCCGGAAGCCAGTCGCACCAATGTGTCGGAGGAAAGGCTGTACAGCTGGCGACTGAAGTCAGCGTGCTTGCGCCCGGCCGCCACAAGAGTGCAATGGGACAACGACATCCCAGCCGGCCAAACCCTCCCCTAACCCGATGCTGGGCCAATTGTGAGCCGCCTCATGGGTCTCCCGGTCGTGGACGGCTGTGACACAGCCCAGGATTGAACCCGGATCTGTAGTAACGCCTCTAGCACTGCGATGCAGTGCCTTAGACCACTGCGCCAGGTCAAGGTTGTGTTCTTAAAGGGATAGTTCACCTGAATTACAAATGTACTTCATAATATGGATTCATGCAGGGTCGGACTGGGACCAGAAATCAGCCGGGCATTTCTGCACACCAGCCCATTTTTTTTTACGTGTGAGGAAAAAACACCAGGCAATTTTTGTTTTGTGCACACTACTTGCACAGACATTCTCAGGACCTTTTCAATCATCCGAAATCGCCATCTATTTCTAGTGACCAGCCTGTTCTAATCATGCATCCTTGTTTCATATTTCCAACTACAGTTTGGAGCCAAGGGAAACCCAGGAGACTGTTTGCCAGGAGACAGATTTTGCCCCATCAGGGACAACACTACGTTGCAGTAAGTTGTACCCTTTTAAAACTATAGCAGGAACAATGTAATAAATCATGGTTAAAGAGGTTGCGAGGACAAACTCTGTGGCTCAGTTGGTAGAGCATGGCGCTTGCAACGCCAGGGTTGTGGGTTTGATTCCCACGGGGGACCAGTATGAAAATGTATGCACTCACTACTGTAAGTTTCTTTAAATAAAAGTGTCTGCTAAAATGTAACTGTCAAGGAGTTAATCAATCTTAAATATAATTGTCTGGATTTAAACATGAATGACTTCCCTTAGTCATTAACTAGCTTCGCAGTCATCTATAGTAGTTTTTCCTTATGAGTGTCAGACGAGAGGCTACTGTGATAGCAGAAATCCTAATAGTGATTTTTCTGTAGCTATAATTGCGTAAATTATAGTATAGTATTGTAAGGCTGACAGTAAAAATATGGATCCATCGACACTGCAACTTAGACTCAAGGTTTAATCAGTGTGATAACATCTTTCAGGGGACAAATAAAATAATAGGTAAAATCATATGAGCAGCGAGCGAGGCACAGGAGGCGTGGCTTCAAATCCCACTGCTGCCACCAAATGTAAGGCAGACTAAAGAATAGATCAATGGACACTGTGACTTCAATATTACACTCATGGGGACAAATAAAACGAAAGAGCGAAACACCTGGCACCGAGCTCTAAACTGAACAACTCCCAGCAAACCCTGCTCTTTACACTAGAGCCAGAGCATCCGCTCTCACAATACAGGTCCCCCAGTAATAATGCCTTGTGATTCAGTATGTATATTATATTTTCTCAATCACTGATATGGGGTGTTCAAACATATTTTTCCCTGTGGGTGATGTTTCAGAAACCCAAGCCTGAGCCTGCAGCTCCTGCCCGGCGGTGTGGTCGTCTGATGGAGAGCTGTGCCCATCACACCCCCTGCTGTGACCCCTGCACCTCCTGCCGCTGTCGCCTCTTCAACACCATCTGTCACTGCTGGAGACTGGGCCTGCACTGTCCCAAGAAGAACTAGACACACACACACACACAACCACAACCATTCACCACACACACAAACTGCACTGGCCCCAAGAAGAACCAGAGACCCCCTACAGGCAAACACACACAGTCACACACATACTACACACTCACACAAACGCTGAGTGTACAAAACATTAGGAACACCTGTTCCTGTGCCATTCAGAGGGTGAATGGGCAAGACAAAAAGATTTGTGCCTTTTGAACGGGGTATGATAGTAGTTGCAAGGCGCACCGGTTTGAGTGTGTCAAGAACTGCAACACTGCTGGGTTTTTCACTCTCAACAGTTTCCCAGTGTGTATCAAGAATGGTCCACCACCCAAAGTACATCCAGCCAACTTGACACAACTGGGGAATGCTTTTGACACCTCGTAGAGTCCATTCCCCAACGAATTGAGTCTGTTCTGAGGGGAAAAGGGGGTGCAACTCAATATTAGGAAGATGTTCCTAATGTTTTGTACACTCAGTGTATATCTCTCCCAGAGACTGCTAGAGATCACACAGAGTGACTTACACATACTGTACAAAACATGGACATACTACACAGATATACATGCAAAACTATTTTGGACCTGATGAATGACAGATTACATATCGTAAGGCCCACAATAATTTCCATGTGGGTATCTAGACGTTGTATGGATTCATTGTGGACATGAAACAGTATGTGTTTCTTACATAACTATATTAATTCTGCTTTTGTATAACTGCTACTCTGCTAGATTCTGGGTCATGTTGATCCAATGCTAACCACAAAAAAAGAAAACATAAAAAAACTTGTGACCAACATCCTCTCTATATTTTTTCTATTGAATATTTGTTAGCCTCATCCTCTTTTTATTGGTATTCTCCCTGCTGGCAAAAGTAGTCTTTATTACTACTCAATAATAGGTTTTGCCGCTGTGGTTACATACATTTTTAAATGACTTGCAAACTTCCCGGTGGATTAAGGTGGAAAAGAGGTAGTGAGGAAAATAAAAGTTATGAATACAGAGAATGAGTAGTAAGAAAGGATAACAACCAACCCACAGAAATGTGTTCCATGTGAATGTAACAACAACCCCAAACACACCTCAAAAGCACCCTGGAATGGTTCAAGAAGAAACGCTGGACTGTTCTGGAGTGGTCAGCAAAGAGTCCAGATCCAAATCACATCCATAACATATGGCGAGAGCTGAAAACAGCAGTTGGGGGAGGGCACCCTGTAGCAACTGACAATGTAATAACTGCCAATAATGTAATAGTTGCTAATAATGTAATAACTTTTGCATTTATAATGTAATAAATACTAATAATGTAATAAATTGACAATAATGTAATAAATATGCTGAATGCATTATGTAATAACGTTTCTGCGCATAACATAATAATATAAATATTATTATGACATTATGCATTGATTATTGCATTATAAAGTGGTAAAAGAAACTGCAATAGTGTTATAACTTAAACCAATAATGTAATAACTAAAATCACTCTCTTTCTTTAATTGCATGCCTATTGTCACACACTTAAGGAACACTTCATGTGATAAACCAAATTCTAATGATCACAAAAATATTGACAGTGCCTTCAGAAAGTATTCATACCCCTTGATTTATTCCACATGTTGTTGTCTTACAGCCTGAATTCATTTTTCTCACCCATCTACACACAATATCCCATAATGACATACTGAAAACATGTTTTTAAACATTTTTGCTAATTGATTGAAAATTAAATACAGAAATATCTCATTTATATAAGTAATAATAATAATAATAATATGCCATTTAGCAGACGCTTTTATCCAAAGCGACTTACAGTCATGCGTGCATACATTTTTGTGTATGGGTGGTGCCGGGGATCGAACCCACTACCTTGGCGTTACAAGCGCTGAGTCAATACATGTTAGAATCACCTTTGGCAGCTTTTACAGTATTTCAGGGTAAGTCTCTAAGAGCTTTGCACACCTGGATTGTACAATATTTGCACATGATTCTTTAGAAAATTCTTCAAGCTCTGTCAAGTTGGTTGTTGATCATTGCCAGACATCCATTTTCAAGTCTTGCCATAGATTTCCAAGTCGATTTAAGTCAAAACTGTAACTAGGCCACTCTGGAACATTCAATGTTGTCTTGGTAAACAAATCCAGTGTATATTTGGCTTTGTGTTTCAGGTTATTGTCCTGCTGAAAGGTGAATTTGTTTCCCAGTGTCTGTTGGAAAGCAGACTGAACCAGGTTTTCCTCTAGGATTTTGCCTGTGTTTAGCTCTATTCTGTTTATTTTTATAAAAGAAAAAACTCCCCAGTTCTTAACAATTAGAAGCATACTCATAACATGATGCAGCTACCACCATGCTTGAAAATATTAAGAGTTGTACTCAGTGAAGTGTTGTGTTGGATTTGCCCCAAACAGAACACTTTGTATTTTGGACATAAAGTTAATTTCTTTGCCACATTTTCTACATTAAACTCTGTGACTGTTTCAAAGTCACCATTGGACTCATGGTGAAACCCATGAGCGGTATCCTTCCTCTCCGGCAACTGACTTAGGAAGGACACCTGTATCTTTGTAGTGACTGGGTGTATTGATACACCATCCAAATTGTAATTAATAACTTCACCATACTCAAAGGGATATTCAATGTCTGCTTTTTTTTTTTAACGATCTACCAATAGGTGCCCTTCTTTGCGAAGCAATGGAAAACCTCCCTGGTCTTTGTGGTTGAATCTGTGTTTGAAATTCACTGCTCGACTGAGAGACCTTACAGATAATTGTATGTGTGGGGTACAGAGATGAGGTAGTCATTCATAAATCATGTTAAACACTATTATTGCACACAGAGTGAATCCATACAAGTTATTATGTGACTTGTTAAGCAAATATTTACTCCTGAACTTATTTAGGCTTGCTATATCATTACCACATCTTACAGTACTCATACACGGAATGAGGGAGAGCTCGGTTTGTTGTTTTGGAAAGTTAGTTGTTTTGGAATGTTTTGAAAGTCAATTGAAAAAGTTACTAGCTAGCTACCTTTTGAGTTTGGATCCGGCGACGTGGTTGGCATCAGTTGCTGGGACCGCTACTATCTGTCCAGTGATCCTGCCGACCAAGGCCAGGTCTGAGGAGCTGTTTGGCGTAGCAGCTAGCCTAGCTGCTAGCTAGCTGCCTATTAAGCTAGCAGGGTTTTCTTGAGGGCTTGAGGGCTTGAACGCCGCCCGCGACGCGGTTAGCCATTGTGGCTGGGACAGCGAATTGTCCCGGGCTTATGGCTGTCTAGATCCCTGCTGTTTGTTGTTGTTGTTTCCCTGTGACCTGCCCTGTCTTGAAGTGCAAGGAGTAACAGCATAACCTACATTGCTACCATGACAAAGACCAAAGCCGGCAGGAGTACCATTGAGGACAGTGGTGTCTCTCTATCACAGGTGAAGGATCTTTTAAACTAACAAAAATAGTTCAAAAGCAGTTGTTAAAACAACAAGAAAATAGCTTCAAGTGTTTTGTCCAAATTCTGGTGGAGTCAACTAATAAAATAATGGATGACCTGACCAGAGAGGTCCAGGACCTGAAGAACAGTTTGCAGTTCTCTCAGGGTCAGCTCGATGAGTTGAAACAGGAGAACGGCAAGATGACAGCAATCTGTAAGTCATTGAGAGAGGAGATCAGTTCTGTATGTGAATCCATGATAAGAATGACGGAGAAATCAGATTATCTTGAGAAACAATCAAGGCGGAACAACATGGTTTTGGACGGAATTGCAGAATCTCCACATGAGACCTGGACGGAGTCTGAGGACAAAGTTAGGGAAATGATCTCGGAGAAACTGAGGATGGAGCACAGGAAGATTGAGGTGGAGCGTGCCCACAGAACTAGAAATCCCACCTCCGGCCCAGGCCAATAGTGGTCAAGTTCCTGAGGTTCAAGGACAAGGTAGCATTCTGGAAAGAGCCAAGAACTTGAGAGGAACATATATCTTCTTCAACTAGGACTATCCTGATGCTGTGTGCCAGAAGAGGAAAGAATTTATCCCAGCCATGAAAGCTGCCAGAGCACGTTGGGACATTGCTTACATCCGCTATGGCAGGCTCATTGTCCACCCTCCCTCCCAAAAGCCTGGAAGGGATAAGAGAGCCAAGCCTATGGGTTCGTAGCTTCAACCCCGCAGCACACACACACCAACTGATTAATGGACTGCTGAATGTATATATTTTTTCTCTTGTTTTGTTTGCTCTTTTCCATATTATGTCTATCTGATAAGCTACCCAGGAAAATAGCCCATATTAATATATGCAGCCTGAGAAATAAGGTTCATGAAATCAATAACTTGCTAACATCAGATAACGTTCATATATTAGCCATTTCTGACTTAGATAATTCATTTGACAATACAGCAGTAGCAATACAAGGATATAACATCTATAGAAGTGTCATGAATGTCTGTGGAATGCGGTAGGCCAGAGTCAAGTGCAGGACACAGAATGAAATGAAAATCTACTTTACTGTATGTAAAGAAACAAGCAAAACCTCCAACACAGGGAGGAGCAAACCAGCTCACAAACGACACTCGAAACAAGTAACAAACACGCTCAACACACAGTGGGAGCGAACAGGTTAATTAGGGAAGGACATAATACCATAATGGGAAACAGGTGTGCAACACTAGACAACAACCAGATGAACATAGAAACATAAAACATAGATCGGCAGCAGCTAGTAGTCCGGTGACGACGAACGCTGAAGCCTGCCCGAACCAGAAGGAAGGGCAGTTTCGGCAGAATCCGTGACAGTACCCACCCCCCCCCCCCCCCCCCCCCCCCGACGCGCGGCTCCAGCCGTGCGTCGACACCAGCCTCGGGGACAGCCAGGAGGACGCGGCGCGGGGAGAGTCGGCTGATTTCGATGAAATTCTCTCAACAAGGAGGGATCGAGGATATCCCTCCTAGGAACCCAGCACCGCACCTCCGGACCATACCCCTCCCACTCCACGAGAAACTGCAGGCCCCCC